ACAAAGGCTGGGCTTACCTATTTGGCGCCCAATGCGCTCTGGCAGACGTCATTGCTTGTTTCGCGCTAGCCGTCACGCAAACTGAGCCCTCGGCCTGGACCATCGGCCTCGTTGAAGTGAGGCTTGAGTTGCTGGATGGATACTGGAGCGACTTTCAGGCCAATCATTTGAGGCTCATCGAGACGCCTCCTCCTGAGAAGCAGGAGTCACTAACCCAAATGAACTCGACATCGGAGGCTGAGTACATAGAGTCACGCGCACACCTCTACAACACGAGGAGCACCCTCGCACCACCTTCTGGCAACAGTGGCGTGGGCTCCAGGCGCGCTACATCGAATTGTGGACCCTGCCTGCCCCGAAATTGTATTCCCGCCTTCTCCGGGAAAAGAGAAGACTGGGAGACGTTTCGGGATCTCTTTCGAGCGCTGGTGCATGACGTTTAACAGCTCACCGATGTCAAGCGACTATTTTGAAGAGCCCTGAAAGGGGCCGATGCACTTCCGCACGGTTACCCCCTCCATCGTGCAAGTATAAAAAACTTCCCCCACCATATAAGCTAAGACTACGTGGATATAAGGGGGCGCTCTCGCGCACAGAGGGCAGTCGGCCCTGTACAACGGCGACATACGGAGTCATCGGCCAGCTGGATACACCGGCTACCGATTGAATCTGCAGACCCACCCGGCGAACTCGGGAGCAGTCCGACCAGGGCCATTTGAATCAATAAAAAGCAGTTGTTCACCAACACGGCGTCCACTCATTTACCTCGGCCAAACCGTCCTGCTTTGCGGGACCCGCACACCACGTTCCTCAAGCTAGCAGCTACCCGGACCCTCGACACCGAGGCCCTCCTGGAGTTGCTCTACCACGACGCGCCCGGGAAGCCCCCGGAGGCGCTTCTCGCACCACCCACAGCGAGCCTACCTAAAAAGAAGCGACGTTCAGAGAGGCAACGAGTCCGGCGCAATACCAGAAGGCGCACGTCTGCATCGGCCACCCGGCTACGCAGTGTGGTGGTGATACCGCCCACCAACACGCACCTGTGGGAGCACCATCGGAGGGAGCAATCTGCCCTAAAAACCTCCGACCCATACGGAGCTCCCGCAACACCGGCTCGGACCCCTACTCTGTCACCACGAGTAAACGTGGCCCCCGGGTCCCCCACATTCCGACCAGCGCAGGCTAACCCTGAGCCACCCAGGGCAACGAATTCAGGGGCTCAGGTTTCCAGGGTATCCGCAGCTCAAGACATTGAGGGACCGGCAGGAACAAGGAAGCCGACTAGGCCCAGTCTTCTCCCTCCTCCGGCACGCCACCCGTACGCCGAAACCCTTCGGGGTAGGCTTCGAACACTCAAGGTGGGACTCCCCGAGCTAAGGGATCCCCGGCGTTTTAACCAGGTAAGGAGGCGATTACTCACGAGGCCTGTGATACCCTCCCGTGGTACGATCATACTGCCATAATTTGAGTCCGCAACATCAATCGGCCCTTATCAGGGCCACAACTAAGTCGACGTATTGGAGCCCCCTTCCGGCCCAACCGGTCCAGGAAGGGCCAACCACGCCGACTCTCATATCAATTTTACTTAAAGTCTCTCGTGGAGGGAGATTCCAAAACAGCCCTCGACGCGATCCAGATCATTGGCACCAACTCCTCAACCGTTTGGGCCGCGCTTGAGGCACGGTTTAAACACCGCCGTTTCCTAGTACACGACCATCTAACGGTGCTACGCAACATCAGGCCTTTAAGGGAAGAGTTGGCCAGAGGTCTGCAGAGCCTTCTTGATACGCTGGGTCACCATCGGGACCAGTTGCAAGCTTTGGGCCGTCCACGTCCTGTCCTCCAGTGAGATGACTGGCTGATCTCTTATGCAATGACCAGCATGGACCCGACTACCCGGCGTGCCTGGGAGGACGAGCTCGCGTGGCTCGAGGGCGCCGACACAAGGGCTGGGATTTAGACTGCGACTTTCGGTGTTATGACGAACTTTCTTCACCGACAGTGCCGCGCTCTCAGCTCCATTGAGGCATCTCGCCCAGCGCGGCCAGAGAGCACGCCCAGCATCCGTCCACCAGCCTTATCATCTTCTGGGCGGCACTATCGCTCCTTTGCAACCGGCGCAGCCCTGCCTCCGTGCCTGTCCTGCAGTGAAACCCATTACCTGGGGCACTGCGCTCGATTCCAAGGCTTCGACGCGCACGCTCGGCGAGACCTGGTCTACCAAGCGCAACTATGTTTTAATTGCCTCCAAACGGGCCACCTGTTGAAGTTCTGAACCTCCCGATCTGTTTGTCAGCACTGCCGAAAACAGCACCACAGCCTGCTTCACGACAGCAGCCGTCGACGGCCATCGGACCCATCTGACGGTCTGCCATCACCAAAACGGCCAAAGGCTGACCCCGTTGCGTTGGTGCAACCCGTGCTGACGACCTGGGTCCGTCGCCCTCTTCCTGACTTGCCATGCTACCGACCGCTCTTGTCCAGCTAAGTGGTCCGTCTGGCTGGCGCGCGACAGTTCGAGCCCTCCTCAATGCGAGCTCCGAGGTCACGATCGTCTCTGCGAACCTGGCGCGACGGCTCAACGCCACGCTAGAGCACACCAATGCGAGCATTTCTGGAGTAGGAGGTGAGTCGGTTGTCTGGTCGAGAACTCGGGCCCATCTGCACATCGACCCGGGCAGAGATGCACTGCCGATCACCTTGGTGGCACTCTGCTTACCTCAGCTCGGGTTTGTATCGCCGTCCGCTCCTCTGCACCCATCCATGGCTGAGCAGTGGCTTGATCTTCAGACTCTGGCTGACCCCGCATTTGGCACACTCAGTCGGGTATGGACTTGCTCCTTGGTGCCGACGTCTACAGCCGCATATTGAGGGCGGAATCCATCCGGTGGGGCGACATTATCGGTCAGCACACAATCTTTGGCTAGACCCTCGTCGGTCGTGCTCCTGGCCTGCAGCCGGCAGCTTTTACTGTTGGCTTAACACTGCACATGAACGGCGCACCGTCTTAGCATCGCAAGCTGGCTGCGCTGCTGCAGCGCTTTTGGGAGCTCGAGGAAGTACCGCAAGTCAGCCGCCACGCTTCAGAGGACATTGAGTGCGAGCGCATCTTCCTCGATCACCATCGTGCTTCGGATGGCCGCTATGTCGTTCGTCTGCCATTGAAGAGCGACAGTGCGTGGCTGCTTGGCAACAGCCTGCAGAGTGCCACAGCCGCCCTTCACTCGTTGCATCATCGCCTCCAGCGGACCCCAGCGATGCGTGCTGAGTATGTGCAATTTATGGAAGAGTACATCACTCTGGGCCACATGAGGCCGCTGCCTGACGATCTGCGCACGGCATCGCCCTGACCAGTGCACTATATCCAACATCATGGCATCCGGCAGAGCAGCAATAAGGGCCGCAGGCTTCGCGTCGTGTTCAACGCCTCGAAACCGACATCAAGTGGCTACAGCTTAAACGACGTCCTCTTCGCGGGCCCTAGGCTGCAGACCGCGCTCCCCAGCGTGCTCCTACGCTGGCGACGACACCGAATCGCCTTCTGCAGCGACGTCCGCATGATGTTTCGTCAGATCTGGATTATATAAGCGTGACGTTGACCTACAGCGTATCTTGTGAAGCCCTAATCCAAACCAACCGCCCACGCACTACCAGCTGTTGACAGTCACATATAGCGCTTGATGCTCACCGTACTTCTCCTTGCGCACTGTGCAGCAGCTGTGCGAGGACGAATGACACCGTTGGCCCGAGGCAGTTTCCGTGGTAATGAACGACCGCTACGTCGACGACATACTCTCCAGTGCTGATGACATCGCCACGGCTCGACATATTCGTGACCAGCTAATCGAACTTCTGCAAGCCGGCGGGTTTTCTCTGCGCAAGTGGGTAGCCAATGTGCCCGAGCTGCTGGACGACCTCCCCGACGACGTGGGCCTGCGGCCAACTTGGTGTCAGCTTGGCGCCGAAGGTCTCGTGAGTGAGCTCAGTGTGAGCTGGGACCCACCGTCAGATTCCTTTCTGCTAACATCTCCCCTCATACAGCACCAAACCACCAAGAGGACCATGCTCGCAGCGCTCGCGTGCCTGTTTGATCCATACGGTTGGCTTGCGCCGATCGTGCTGAACGCCAAACTCCTGCTGCAAGACTTATGGCGAGCCAAGCTGGACTGGGACGAGTCTGCTCCGTCGTCCATGATTCAAAGGTGAACTGCCTTTTTCACCGAGCTCCAAGCCATCTCCGGTTTATCCCTGCCTCGTTGGATCTAAACGGTCGCGTCAGCGGACATTCACCTGCACGTATTTTCCGATGCCAGCCGCCGCGCGATGGCTGCTGTCCTGTACTCTAGACTCCAGGCCGCAGACGATTCTATCTCGTGCGCACTCGTTGGTGGGTCCGGCGCCAGTTGCGTCGCCCACCTGTCCTGCCGGTGCTCTCACCACTGACCCCTGCCGAGCTTCAAGATGCCTTTCTGGCCTGCATCCGTTTGAGCCAATCGGAAACGTTTGGCAAAGAGCGCGCACGTTTGCAGAACGGCGAGCGATTGCCAAAAGGGAACCCTTTGACTTCTCTTGCGGCTTTCCTCGACACCAACGGCGTTCTGCGCGTTGGCGGGTGGCTGAGTTTCTCCTCGCTACCTTACGAAGAGCGGCATTCACCGATCCTTAGTGGAGCCTCATCGCTCACCTTGCAGGTCTTTTCTTGGGCCCATACTCGAGCTCTTCACGGCGGATACAGGGTCACTAGCGCCTACGCGGCCAAGCGTGCATGGATTCTTGGTGGCCCACGCAGAATCAAGGCTCAATTGCGGCGGTGCGTCGTATGCTCCCGACTCCAGGCTCGCTCCATGACCCAGATGATGGCCCCCTTACCAGCTTCATGAGTCACACCTTCCTGCGCTTTTGGCCGCACGGGTGTCGACTACGCCAGGCCTTTTTCAGTACTTGCTTCAAAAGGACGAGGCATACGCACTACGAAGGGTTACATCGCCGTCTTCGCGTGCATGACGACAAAGGCCCTACACCTCGAGCTCGTTGGTGATCTCTCCACAGCCACCTTCCTGGGCGCTCTCACTCGGTTCACCGGTCATCGCGGTCGACCCTCTGAACTCTGGAGCGACAATGTCACTTGCTTTCGCCACGCTGATCTGGAGCTGCGCGAGGCGTTACAAATTGCGGAGATCGACTGGGACCTCGTCACCGGCTCTCTCGCTTTGCAAGGTATTGCTTGGCACTTCATCCCCCCTGGAGCTCCACATTTTGGCGGACTCTGGGAAGCCGCCGTCAAGTCAGCCAAAGCCCACCTCCGACGCGCAATGGGCTCCTGTCACCTGACCTATGAGGAATTTTTCACCGTACTAATTGGGATTGAGATGGTGCTCAACGGAAGGCCCTTGACACCACTCTCCGGCGACCCATCCGACCTCGAGGTACTTACACCAGGCCACTTCCTTGCTGGAGCCCCACTCGATTTCATCATCCAGCCCAGGCCTCCCACTGAGAACTTGGACGCTCTCTCGCATTGGGACCTCGTGAGAGCCATTTGGGCTTAGATCTGGTTACGCTGGAGCCGAGAGTACCTTAATACACTCCAGCAAAGGTCAAAGTGGACCGTTGCTTGCCGAAGTATTGCCGTCGGCGATTTTGTCATCCTACTGGACGCCACCCTCCTCTAATCGAGCGGTCGTTGGCCACTAGGTCGCATCATTCGCACCCAGCCTGGTCCTGATGGAGCGACTGGCGAGTACGTGCGACCGATTGTCAAACTGGCCTTACTTTCCGTAGTGAACCCCGGTCCACCAACGCCACCCTCTGATGGTCAAGAAGGCCGACCCGCCTTGGCGGGCGGCGATTAGTATGTCGCTCCAGGAGCAATGCGGGCGGATTGTTCGGCTCGTTTCCCGCGGTCAACGTCCGACAAGATGACGGTATGCGCACCCTCCTTCGTTCTGGGTGCGTACTGCTCCTGCGGAACTGCCGAGCCGCGCGTGGGCTGACGGACTGACGATCGAGGAAAAAAGAAGAAAGAGCTGAGAGAGATCACATTGACAGAAGTGATATAATTGTCTGCAACTCTGTACTAGGCACTAGATTATATTCAATAAAGATTTTTAAAACTGAACAAGTATCATTAGCATTGATTAATTAAAAATAGTACACAGCTGGCCAGATGCTATGGGATACCAAAAATTTAGAAGAAATTTCTTTTGTTGAGATCTATTATTTTTTCGGCTTACTCTCTGACACATTTTTTAGCTTATGTAAATCCTACGCTTGTTTAATAAATGTTGAAAATCCTCTTTTTCACAAATCACAAACAGCATTAAGTTTTTAGACCATATTCCACAATTAAAAGTTTCTGATCATTTTATTTGTATAATCCTAGATGTCACATCTCTTTAAACTAGTATATCTTAACAACACTTTATTAATAACATAAGAAAATGAGCCTCATTAATATTTTAAGGGTCTCTTTCAAAGGTGTAATAAAAATAACTAAATTTTTTTCTAACAACGTACTTTTCTGTTCCAATACAAAATTTTAGCAACAAACTTCGGGTAGTCCCATGCGGTCTCCCATGTCACCCTTTCTCGCTAACCTGGTCAATACAGAATGTAAAGTTGTAAGCTTCTCATACTTTAAAAACAAAATAAAACTGCAAACAGTTATTTGATAAGCGCTTTGTAGATAATTCCTGCCTCAGTAATTATAAAGATTTTGTTGATGTAGCACTGGATGTTTTTCATAAATTAGACAAATTTTTGAAATTCACACATGAAATGGAAATTTATAACTTGACGTTCTCCATTTCTATCTTTTATTACAAATCTCAAATAAGTTTTAACTGATACGCAACACCTTTTGTCTCCAATAGATTAATAGTCAGATGAGATAGTTAGACGAACCTGTACGCCCTCCCACTCCCAACCTCTTAGCTGTCTCTGATGAGAAGCCGTCACCACTGATCCAACCTATTTATCAACAACCGCAGTGTCGTGAGCGGTCATGCTATTTTTCTTACCTGGGTGGCCGTTAGTACAATCCCACTCTGGTGCTATTCACCGTTGGTCCAAACCAAGCCCTAAACTTAGCAGCGATTGATGTCCTTGAGTTCAGTAGAATAAGTGAGTAAAATAATAATAAAAATTGAGAGAGAATAATACTTTTCCTTAATACTCTACTACTTTCTCTTGAACAATTATTTTTGTGACGAACATTAGGTTCCGATTAGCATTGAGAACTGTTTGGACTCTTGTTTTTCGAAACAAGTTAAAAGACGAGTATTGAGACCTATTCAAATATCTGTTGCTTCACTGATCTCAGTACCTTCATGATTACCAAATTTAATGCATACCTTGTGATACATGCGACCAATTTGAGACGTACGTTAAGGCAAACCTTGAGATTTATTAAAAAATACGTTATAGGACATAATAGAAGACCAGATTTGAGATAAAGTGTTTGACTCTCTTTGAAACTTTTTACATGACCAGTTCCAAGGAAATTTTTGAGATCTTGTTTGAGACCTTTCATGAAACCAAATTAAAGACAAACCATAAGAAAAACATTAAAATCTATTTTCAGATCAATGTTTTTATGATATTTAAAAATTATTTAACTACCAGATTCAAGACAAGATTTAAGACATAATATCTAACCAGTTTTAAAAGTAACTGAAATAATTTTGTCAGAACTATTTGAATACTGCTGTCATAAAACGTTTAATACATATAATTTGTTTCAACACATTGTAATATCGATAATGAGAACGTTTTCTAAATGTATTTGTAACCAGCTCAGAGACATAAATCAAGATCTTTTTAAAAACGCTTTTTTTTTGGTCCCAATGAAATGTTAAGCTTTTTAGTAATTTTGTGGTTTGTAATTACTAAACAAATATTGACATAAGTTCAAGTCTTTTTAATAGAACTTTAGAGTTTCATCCAGACATAAGACAAGAATTAAACCCACACTTTCCGCTGGACGTCGTAAAAGACATTTAGCCAGACTTCCAGCCAGACTTTCTGCCAGATTTTTAGCCAGACTTCCAGCCAGACATTCAGCCATATTGCCTGTCCGACTTTTAGCCAGACTACCAGCCAGACATTTAGACAGTTTTTCTGCCAGACATTCAGCCAGACTTTCTGCCAGACTTTCAGCCAGACATTAAACCAGACTTTTTGCCAGACATTTAGCAAAACATCAAGTCAGGATTCCAGACATACTTACTGCCAGACATGAAGCCGAACTTTGAGTCAAACATTCAGCTAGTTTTTCTGCCAAACATTGCGCCAGACTTCTTGCCAGACTTTCAGGCAGACTTCTAGCCAGGCATACAGCTAGACTTTCAGCCAAACATTAAGCCAGACTTTAAGCTAGACTTACTGTTAGACATTTAGCTAGTTTTTCTGCCAAACTTCCAGCCAGACATTCAGCTAGACTTTCAGCCAGGAATTAAGCCAGTCCTTGAGCCAGACTTCCGGCCAGAGATAGAGCTAGACTTTCAGCCAGACTTTCTGTCAGACTTTTAGTCAGACAGTAAGCCAGTTTTTAAGCCAGACTTCCAGCAAGACATAGAGCTAGACCAAGCTTCCAGCTAGACAATAAGCCATTTCTCTGGCAGACTTTGAGCCAGACATTAAGCCAGACTTTTTTTCAAACACTGAGCAAAACATTAAGTCAGGTATCAAGAAATACTTACTGCCAGATTTCTAGCCAGGTATCATGCCAAACTTTTAGTCAGACATTTAGCAAGTTCTTTTGCCAAACATTGAGCCAGACTTCCAGCCAGACTTTAAGCCAGACTTTTAACCAGACATATAGGACTAATAATAAAATACTAATTTATTAACAAATACATTTTTTCGATGCCTAATTAGTGCCTTTATTCTCATCACCTCACACACAATTGTGTACTAATAAACAACGTAAAGATGTCTTGTAATATCAATAAGGATGATATCTGATGATGGTTGTTTCGTGATATGTTATCGACTGGTGATGACCTATGATCAAGAACAAAATTTTTTTAATAAAAATAAATACATACTCTACTTAAAATTATATGGTTAACTTATTTAAATTGCTTTGGTATAAAAGGTCGTGACCAAGACAATAATAAGGTGTTAGTAGGTGCACATACTCAAGGACGTTACCTAGGGGTAAACGAGGATATTATTGTGGTTGCTCCAATTATTGCGGCACTCTCAAAAAATTCGTTTATTTTAATTGAACTAATGAGTGATGAATAGTGAATACTTGAAAATTATTAAATCAAGTTATAGAGTAGCTAATTTATTGAACTTCAGTTTAAAAAAAGCCTGAAAAACTTTACATTAGTATAACAAAAAATCACGTCCACAATAACTGGTGCACACATAACCTCTTTCCCCATGACGGTATTATTGCAGATACTCAGTTGATTTAGCATTGAAACTGACCACAATAATATGTACACAATAATACATACAGGCCCACAATAATATCAGCATTGGCAACTGAACTTTGAAACCTCTTTTTTAATCGATATTCATGTGCTTATACATTTATAAAAAGAGAATTAGGTAGTTTTTGAGTCTTACATTAATAACAAAAAAAAATCACAAGGATTTGACGCACTTTATTTCTTAGACAATCGTTTAAAGCTAACCACTAAAAAAAATCGCAATAATACCCTTGTTTACCCCTTTTAAATAAAAAATGTACAACAAATCTGGAATCATGACCACGAGGCTCTCTTATAAATTTGCTATTTTTTTCAAAAATAGTTTGTTTTTGTTTTCTTACATGGTAAATCTTCACGAAATCTAAATATTCTTCATGTCGAAAATCTAGTCCTTAAAGGAATGTTCATTCAATTTATAGTTGACAGATGTTTCTAAATCAAGTCCACTAAGCGCAACGAAATATAGTTTTTGGTAATTTCAACGAAAAATGCATTGTTTACATTATCTCTATAGCATTTATTATATGTTAAAGGAGAGGATGAAGGGGAGGTTCAGTGAGCAGACAAGAGCGCCTCCTACTACCGCAAGAACGAGCTCATGGATAATTTTATCATATTTTACATATCTCCATTTGATATTTTTAAAAGATACTTTTTTTTTTAAAAGCAAAGATACAGCAAGCATATCCTTTTCTTCGTAGCTTATAATATTTAAATGTAAGTATTGTCTAATAAAAAATAATTAACGTGTCCTTAATAATAAAAACGTTAACAATGTTGAAAACGAGAATTTTTTGTAAACTGTAGAAAAAAGATTAGCGTCATTGTGAAAAAGGTATGACTGTGACGTACTATCCGGACTTCGGACCTCACACTTTGTGAATTGTTTTTTTTTCATTTTTACGTCTACTTGATCGTTTATTCACCGGCAAACTTTGTATCTTGACTCACTACTCTAAGCTTTTAATCGCACAACTCAAACTTACAAAATAATAAGTATCGAACTATTGTTATAAAAATAATATTAAGAAAATGACTGTAAACATTTTTTGGTTAGTTTTTTTTTTACTTAAATGAGGGAGAAAATATATTTTTAAATTTACAAA